TAAAGAGGTGGTCTATTTCATCTTGTGTATATCCTTCTTTACGTAGGCTTCTGATGACAAATAAACACTTGTTGGCTTCATGGAGCTTGGCCTTGACATGCAAGCCAAACTTACAATTACCTTGAATTGTGACGCCTAATAAAGAAATGTTATTATATTGTTTGATATTGTGAGACATTGGGTAGACTGTTGAATTGCCTCTCTTACGCATAATTAGCTCCTTACATTTACTAGTGTTACAATGCATGTCATTTGCAACAGTCCAATCCATAAACTTGGACAAGGCAACATCAGATACATCCGGGGAATCTTTAGTAATCGTGACTAAGACGGTTGAATCGTCTGCATATTTAAACAAGGATATATCTTTGTATCCATCTATCTCTAGGTCATTCAAAAATATGTTGAAAAGATATGGGCCACTGACACTTCCCTGTGTTGTTCCCTTGTTAACAATTTTCCACTGGCATGTCAAATTATTAAAAATCACCCTTTGTTTTCTACCTTCGAGAAAGTTGGCATACCAGTTAACAATGAATGAATCAAGTGGACTATGTTTCAGCTTTTCAACTAGAAGATTGTGTTTAACGTTATCAAAGGCTTTAGAGAAATCCATCGTAAACATTCTCACCGCCACGGTGTCCCGTCTATCCAGTGCCGCAAGAAATGTATGTTGCATTTTCAACAGAGCGTTTACACAACTTCCACCTGAGCGGTAAGCAAATTGAAAATTATTCAGATATTCCTCCAGGCACCTCTTGTTAAAAATGTTATACACTATTCTTTCAAACGTTCTGGCAATAACTGGAGTAACATTGATTCCTCTAAAGTCCGCATATTCGACTGGTGTCTCGACTTTGGGGAGTGGATTTATGTTAGCCTCATTCCAACGACTTGGCCAGATCTGCCGAGCAAGAGATAAGTTCCATAAAGTTCCAATCACTGGGGTAAATTGCACTTAAATTTGACCGTACACCTTTTTGGGTGTACATATAAGGCTATATCAACTCGATACAAGATTTGTTTCACTCCAAGTCACTTAACTTTTCAGTGGGAGCTTCGCTTTTAGCCGAGGCTAAATCTATTTAGTATATACTAAAACAGTGGATGGTGTTTTTCGCGCGCTCTGATTGGCTACTCAATCAGTGGATATCCTGCACTATTCACTGATTCACCTCCAGTTCCTCCGAGCGAGCGACGCCAAACTCGCGTAAGTTGCGAGCAAAATGCCTTCCCGGTTTGCTGCCGTAAACAAACAAAGAAATTTCACAACTAATCAAGCAAGCTGTTTCCGAAATACACGAAGAAGGTAACGAAGTTCGGATTGGAAGTTTTAACAGGTAAAGCTTTGTCTTTTTGACACGAATTTGTCGATAAAACCGGTGAAAAAGTTTTTTGTTTACAAATGCAAATTACGTTTAAGTCTTGCGTTACCTTATTTAGTTGAGTTGTTCATAAATAAGCTTAAAACTAAATTTAATAATCTTTTTTTATAGAATGATTTTAAATACAAAAAGAATTCACAACTCTATACCTGCCAACTCTCACGCCTTAGGCGTGAGTCTCAAACAAATGCCTTCAAAAGTTTTAATTGTCGGCAAGAAAAAGCGACGGCCGTGGCCCCCCGGTCATTACGCGCCAAAATTGTAATCGTTGGCAACAGTATTTGAGTGAAAAATCATCATTTTTGTGCTCAATTATCTCACTGTTTTAGTATATACTAAAACAATTATTCACCTCAGTGTCGGTGGCTAGTCGTGGATATTTACCTCACTGCTTCGCAGTTCAGTAAATTCCACGACCAGCCACCTCCACTTCGGTGAATAATTGTGATATATTATGTTTAGGCATTGAAAGTGCTTCCTGTAGTCTGTCGCTACGGATGGAAAGAACAGGGACATGGATTGAAACTTGAAGTTGGGTCAACGTTTTTAAATATTAATGCTTATTGCTCCCTAATGATTTGTCGGATATTTTCTTCATAACTCTCACAGGAGCATTTTGTATAATGTGATTGAAAATGAATTCAGAGCAAAATTGACCTGAAACAGTCATGTCCTCGTGACGTAACACCTTTAACACGGTCACTTCCGGTTAAAATTACGACTGCATTTTTCTGGCCCGAACAAAAGTCCATGTATGCATTTCTTTAGTTTACACTCTTGTCGATATGGCCACCTGGTTATTACTGCTAGCAGAGGTCTCGCACGTCGAGGCGTCGAGAGAGACCTCTGCTAGCAGGGAAGGTCATTACAACCAACGGCCAGCAATTTTTAGGATTTACGGTTGCTTTTTTTGAAAAGTTATCTCGTAAATAGGACTGAAGTCATGAAAAGTCGAACGCTTATTGAAACCGGGTGGCAAGCGTCTGAAGCAATCAATCTAACAAACGGTGACGATTTGCTATTGATATTCGTTAATTTAACGTTAGAATAATATGTGCGATACTCAGAGGTTTGTCATCACACAGTGAATTAAGTGCGCTTAAGCTACACGGTTTATAAGAAGATCAATCATGATCGTTGAGGCATAAAAAAATAAAAAATTTGTCAAATCAGCTCGGTTTCCACTTCACCATTAAGAATTATTGTAAGTGTGAAAGCAGACACCTCGGTGATGTAACCTAGTGAAAAGTGTTATTGACATCTTTATTGACTAAAGTTGATGTAAGGTGCAATTGCAATCAAACCGTATGCATGGAATGCAACTTATAACAGACAATCCAATTTCTAACAAATTTTCTTGTGGACCATGCCCCCAGATCGCATTGTAACATTGGATAGTCGCATCTCCGGTGCTCATACGCTCCCCCATAAAAACCTCTCGGCTACAGCTCCTGATCATATATACACTTCGTACAACTGCAAGGCAAAATGATGTGATTTCTCGTTTCAGTCTATCTAGTCTATCTAATTTGAAGATACCTGTCGAACACGTCCCGAATGGCAGCAGCCATAAAAAGGTAAATGTCTTGAACCGTGTCATGGAAGATGTATTCATTTGTATTACTTTCAAGACGATTTCACAAACCAAACTGATTGACCTGATGTGAACCCTGAATTGATTAATCGATTGTTGTTTCTATTATTTTACTGCTTGACTGTCCCGCTACATGTACATGTTTTGCTTCCTTTTCACGATTTTCCTGAGTCACGATTTCGGTCGTACAAAAGAAATTATCTATAAAATTTTGGTCGGACTTCGAAATAAAGACCCAATACGCGTCTTCCCGGGGGGGCGGGTACACTCCCTTATATGAGCTATATAGGTATGTGCCGCCTTATCGGGTAGGGTTTTTGCGCCGTTTTGGTCTGAAAATGAGTACACACTTTGCCCATTTTGGTCTGGAATCGGGTATGGTTTTCGAGGGAACTACGCGAGTGCATGAACGTATTTATCGTTTCAATTCCAAATGAGTACGAAAGAAAGGTAAATATGAGAATTCGAAATGAATTTGAAGAATTTTTTATTTGCGCTCTAATCTAAGCAATGATAACATAATTTCTGCCTAAAGGCAGGATCTGAAAACGGGTATCAGGGCTCGTACCTTTTTTTGAACAGAAAATTCAAGGACTTTCAAGGACACATTTCGCATTTTTCAAGGACTACATTCAGTGTAAAACAAGAGTCTTGAGTCTATGTCTTTGTGTTTGCTCCTTGTCCTTTGCAGTTCTCCTTAAACTATTAAGTTAGCATTGAAATTCAAGGACTTTCCAGTGCCGACTGCAATTTTCAAGGACTTTCAAGGCCTTAAATTTTCATTTTCATCATGTTGGTTTCTGATAGCTGATAACGTTAAATCGCTGTTGCTCAAACTGATTTCTTATTGCATTTTTCTGAGTTTTTGGCATCGACCCGCTGAGTCTGGAAAGCTCAAATTTCAGAAAAGTAATACTAGTATTTTTTGGCCTCAAACATTTTCTTTTAAGTTGCCCGTAGTTTTGAAAACAGATTTTGAAAGAAGAGATAACGCTCTTTAACGCGGTATAAGACTCGTTACTGAAATCGAGGTGCCAGTCGACGATTTTGGGCTTTGAAATTTGCCATTTTTTCATTGAATGAAAACGTTCAAAATATTGAAAATAATGAAAAATCTCCAAAATATTACGCTTTCGTTCAAACCTAGTAAATCACCACTTAGAATGTGTGCAAATAAGTACTCTTCTGAACAAGTTATTTGTTGTCCACATTACAATGGATTTGAATTTTAAAACGATTTTTTTGTGACACATGGTCTCGGGCCTGGAAAACCCGGTCCGAGAGCCGCGAAACCAATACCCCCCCCCCCCATACGTGGAAAATAATTATCGGATCGAAGTAAAAATTACATTTATGTTAATAGCTTACCTAGAGCTACTTTGTGAATTTTTTTGAGAATTTTCGATTTTTCACTTTTGTAGACCTCTGGTCGATATTTACTGACATCCGCTCTTAAATTCCATGACCTTCCAGGTTTTCCATGACCCGTACGAACCCTGCAGAAGCGTCTGTTGTAGCGAGCTACCGGCGTAGATGAGAAAGTTTTATATCTGCAATATACCGTTAGCCGAGTTTGTGGTGTCAGCCATCTAATCTTTCCCATACCTTGAAGGAGCAGTAAAATCTGGATATCAGACTCAATCAAAAGTCGAATTCCATGGGCGACTGATTGAGGAACACCACGGAAATGGGAAACAGAATCAAAAAAGAAAACTCAATAACAGATAGTGTTAGGGCGCTTACCATTACCCCTTGCAAGGAGAATTTCACCTTTAATCAGGCCTATCCGGACAGATCAGTTTATTTCTAAAATGTATGCGGTATGCGGTATGCGGCATGCGGCATGCGGCAGTGATTAATAAAAAATTCATTTTCATTATGACCGGTTTGGCCAGCTAGTCCTGACATAGATACAAACAAGACCGAGAAATCGACCGATAAAATTCACAACAGGGGTTCAAAATAGCAGAAAAAGTTAGAAAACAAGGGTAGTCAAGGAACTTCCCTCTCGAACGTAGCTTTTATATCCACCATAGGATCTTTGTACTTACCAAATTTTGTCTTTCCACACTAAGACCCAAAATACGGTTGAGAAATTTTCCCACATCGCTGGCTTCTTTGTCTTTCACTGCAAAACTGGCGTCTGTTACTCCCATGGACAGAAGACATTGCTGTGAAACAAAAGAAAACAGGGCTTTGTGAAACTTGAGAGTAACTCAGTCATTTGGACACCTCGGTAAATGTAATTGACAACCACTGAGAAAGACTTTCTTCATGAGTCACCACTGATATGAAACTAGACTACCAATAGCCTGTGTCGCAGATGTAATCTCGGGTGGTGATTTGCCGCTGGAACCCTGTAACCCTTAGCCTATACCAGAGCTAGTTCAGCTGAATTTTGCTACCCTATACTAGATTAAATTCCTCAAATCCTCCTACGCTAGAGTAGCTTTTGTGCAGAGTTGCGTAAATTTAAACTTGCCGATTTGGTTTTATTTATATTTTTTAGTGCCAATTCCCAGTAATGTCTGCGAAACAGCGCCGAGATCCTTGTTCTGGGCCCCCAACGGATTCAGCGATTTGCCGGAAGTGCGTTTCCAATTTCCTTTCGGTTATCATTAGATCCCATCGACCGTAGCCCCTTCGGACGCCTCACGAAATTTACACCACGTAGTTTTCCCCTTTACTAACCCGGGTTAAGCACTGCCTTTTACAGATTAGGGTTAAGCACTGCCTTTACAGATTAGGGTTAAGTACTGCCTTTACAGATTAGGGTTAAGCACTGCCTTTACAGATTAGGGTTAAGCACTGCCTTTACAGATTAGGGTTAAGCACTGTCTTTACAGATTAGGGTTAAGCACTGCCTTTACAGATTAGGGTTAAGCACTGCCTTTACAGATTAGGGTTAAGCACTGCCTTTACAGATTAGGGTTAAACTTGTTAGGTTCTTTTTGTGGGTTAGGGTTGATGCTGTGTTGGTATTGTACTTAAATTATTTCACTTCCATCCAGCAAATCCTCATTCATATCAATTTCTTTTTTTCTTTTAAATTGAAGAGACTAGCACTTTCATGAACATTTCCGGCTTGAAATATCATCTAAGTGTGATATAAAAGCAGAAAACAGTTCTACCTTGTGTAAATTTCACGAGGGGAGAAAGGGGCTCTAATGCTGACCTTTCCTTTCAACCTGATGGCAATCATGGCGCATACTCAAATCCTGGTACACAGGTGGGTGCCCAGAACAAGGATATCGGTGCTGTCTTGCAGACGGACTTAACCAGAATTTAGTTTTGTCTGTGACGCAAGCTAGACTAGTCACGTGGTAACAATAAAAGCCAGCTGAGGAGCAAGGAACGCGATGGGACAAGACAAAAAAGGAGCTTACATTTTTCCAAATGTTTATTTCCTTTGTTTGTCTCTTGTCCCAATGCCTTTTTTTGCTCTCCCGCACGGAAATTTTGTCCACGCGATTGACCAACAGTATAGGGCCTGTTGGCCTTAAAAGTCGATATGAAACATTCCCTGATTCCAAATTTATTTCATAAGCTAAAAATGAAATTCATTATCAGACGTGTTTAAATACAAAATAGCTGGTGGGTATTGAGTTGCCAATATGCAATGCCTTTCTAATTTTTTTCTGTCAAGTCATTTTTTGCCGATCGCACCATGCCATATGTAATTACAAGATGACTATATCCTTTCTCCATTCCCTCGTGTTGCCCAGAATTTTTATGAAGCAATATCACTGCCTAACTGACACATAAAATTGTTTCTGACATCATAAATTTTCTTTCCAAATCCACTTTTAAGGAGAGAAATAAAATAGGAGTTTTAACCACGTTCGCGACCAACGAAGTAAAACTCACCCTTGCGATGGAGTTAAACTCTGTGAATTCATGCTTGTCGGGAATTTGTGCTGCTGACAGAACCTTAGACAAAGCAACTCCAGGACAAATGGATTGCTGAAAAAAAAGGCAAAAAAGTTCCGCGTTCAAATAAAAAAACGTTTTCTCGTAGATGACACAAGCAACAAGTACACATAGTTCTAATTCGTGACCAATTCTGACATACCGTTACCGTAAAATCCCACGTTAAAGTCCTGAACGTATATAATGGGATTTTTCGGTATAGCTTGTGCCAGGCTCTCAGATAGTAGAGACGTCGCGAAAATAAGACGCGCGGGATCTGGGGAAAGGGGCGATGGCGGGAAAAATAGGAGAGACACCGCCCAAACGCCACCTCTTTCCCTAGCCCCGCGCATTTTTCGCATCACTTTTTACTGCAGGACTGCGCTATTATCTTTTATCCTGAAACAGGCTATTGACATACCAAAGTAATGGCTTGGTACATGTTCCTGAGTGCAGATCGGCCGTAAGACGTGTCAAAATTAAACTGCGTTAAGTCGGCCCCAGTCGCTGCTCGTCTGTCACCTTTGGTAAGTGCACCTGCGGGAAAACAAAACAAAAACTTAAAGGCGCTCTGTCATGGCTGTCTAGTTGAATGGATTGATGTTCTTGGAT